ATGCCTACATTGAGATTATCTCATGTCATTCGGATGAGCTGCAGTGATATCTAACTCCCACCTTTCATTGATTGGAAACTGAGAGACAACACAGTCATGCGATCAAGAGTGCACTAAAGCAATTTAATTTCCATTTCCAGACAAAAACGAACAAAAAAAATAAATTATTATTTACATAAATAAAGCAAGGATGTTGTTTTATAGCCACAAATTTATATGTTAATGGTTTTAAAGATAGCGGCAGATAATCTTCTGGGACTGCTGTGTCACATATCATGAGGTGACGTTGCCTAGCAACCACCTATCAATGGGCTAAGATGACCCATTTCTTTTTTTTCTTTTTTTTGGTGTTTATGCACCTACAGCAAACCAGCTCCAGCATCGCTATCACTTTAATTTTAAAACAATGCCATCTGATTTGTATCCACAAAACCTGGATGGTGTATTACGTGGGTTGTGACGTCATCACGTTGCCTAGCAACCGCCTACCAACAGACTAAAAATCATAGCACGTGTACTGTGGCATGGGCATGTGCTGGTGATACGAAAGTACAGGATCACTTTGATTGTTTAAAGTGTAAAAGCTCCAGTCGTTTACTGCCTGCACTGTGAAAAGCGTGTCAGAGTTGTAGTTGCAGGTAAATGATTGTCACTCGGCTTTCTGCTTTAATAGATTGCAGTATCTTTTTTGGTTAACCTTTATTTAACAGAAGGAGTACACATCAAGTTTCACTTACTGTGTGTTGGGTTGATCTGACTAGTTAAGTTTTTAATTAAAAAAGTTAATTAAACCACTTCTCTTTCTTCACTGTGCTTGATGACATTTCTCTGCACGCTTTCCTGTCACATGGGGAAAAAAATGGGGGTAACCGCATGGTTCAATCAGCATGGCCACCTTTTTGCATTACAATAAGCATGCAAAGTGCTCCATACCAAATGTGCCACAGATACTGTGCTTATATTACATGCTACAGGCTAGCTTTCATATTCTGGCTTATAAAGACCTACACCTTGGCCATCCACAAACTGCTGGGCCAGCTGAAGAAACAAACTCTATAACTCAGTAAGATCTATATTTAGGACTTTCTGTTAGACTTTGTCACAATTTATCAAACCACTAGCTGCGTTGTGTTATTGTGGGCCTGTTCCCTTTGTCTTTAGCTGGACTTTGATGCCTCGGTTAATTGTATGATGATGCAATAATCATTAACAGATTGCCAAATCCATGGGTTTCATAGAGAGTCACCTACAGTTTTACTACTGAGCTGATACATTAATCCAATACGTTATTAATATTTAACTAAAGTTCAAATCTGGGGATTATCAATCCAAGCTGCCCTTTGACAGTAAATCTTATTTTGAAATGCACATTCAATGGTGGCCTGACACATGAAAGACAATGCCTGCTTTTAATTGCAGGCCATGGGAGGTCATGGCACTTTGGTGATAGGGTTGCCATGGCATTGAGATGTCCTTCAGTGACAGCAGGACTTTGAGATGTAGTTAAGATGTACACGGGACAGTAATCATTCATGTGTGTGGAAGATGGGGCTTTTATTACCTAATAACCCTCAGTATTCTGTGACCTGCAGGATGACATTGGGAAGAAGGGACTGTCACTTGTGTCAAGACAAAATCACTGTAGAAGCATGTTCTGTCAAAAATTTTGTTTTTAACAAGTTACTTTGGAGCCATGTTGGATATCTGATATTACCTAACAATATCTATCTACATGTTTTCTTTGTGACCTTGTGAAAGTCATTGACCAGCAACATTTAAAAAACACCATTCTGCCAAATAATTGATGGTTCCTCATGACAGAAGTGACATTTCAACACAGATCGCTCGCTAATACTTGACTGGTGTTTGGAGATGTTGGTAAACTTGCCTATGTTTCAACTGACCTTGTCAAGGACAAGGACAAGGCTAAAATATTTTCTAGAGTATACATCTTAAATATACGTGAATATGTACATATATAGAAATAAACGAGTAACCAGTGACTTTACGTGGTAGTTTTAAAAACGCACTAGTTTTACCTGCTTCATCTGTTTTTGACTGATAACCAACAAAACTATGTTAATCCGAATGGAAGGAAAATTTGCCTGGAATTGAAATGCATAATATTAAGTGTCTGAGATAAATGTCGCGCTGAGTTGTCTCCAGTGGAGACGTGAGAAGAGAGATGAATGCCTCCATGTGTCGGATAAAAACCTAAACACTTGAAACTTTTAATAAAAGCATCCCTGGCTTCTAAAATACCAAAACGACCGTTTTAACTGGTCATCGGTGCTCTGCAGTTGACTTTGTCGTGAACTCACACCAAGTTCCTTGCTGACCTTGGGAAATGACCTAAGCAAGCTGCAGACTGTGACTGAGAAAAAGCTGACACCAGTGGAAAACATCTCAGTGTTCTGCTTTTTTCCCCCTCCCTCTCTCTCATCTGTCTACGCCAGGATGTTTAAAAACCTGTCTAAACTTTTAAGTGTGAAACTTCACAACTCCACCAGTCTCTACGTCATCAGAGTCCAGTGGGAAGAGTTGAAATTTTGAAGCCTAACAATAAAATAAATGCTGAGTGTTTGTGGAAGTTTATGCATTTGAAACATCCTGGCACTCCCACCCAGCACTGACGTGTTTGGTTGAGATCAGTCTTTATAGACATGGCTTGCAATTTAATTATAGCTGTGAGCTACACTATGCAAGCAGTCCCAATAATGTGTGACTGTACATGCAGCAGTGTAAGCACAGAGCTACGTCTCATGTGACCAGCCATGAGGCCAAAGCAGAGGTTTGTATCGCTGGCAGTGACTGAGTGTTAACATGAACTGAGTGAATTTTATAAAATGACTTGACTTTAACTAGTTTAGATGTCATTTTGTAGGCTTTAGTGTCACCATTTTATGCTTAAATCACATCAATCGAGCCCTCAAGTGGCAACTAATTACAGACTGGCTTTGCTCAAGCACTCTGTACTCACAAGGTCGACTTCTTTTTTCAGATCGTCCATATCCTTCTTGGCCTTGGCCTTCTTGTCTTTCTTGCCCCCATCTTCCGAGGTTGCCGCCAGTTTGTATTCATCTTTCCCTCTCTGCAGTGAAGGAAAGGGAAGCAAAGTTAGCCTCTGACAAAAAAAACAGAAAAAGCCTGAGGGAAGAAAGCCCTGGAGCTTCCGATTTTAAAAAGCGGGAAGCTATGTCAACTGTCCTGTTCAAACATATTGTGAAACTCCTGTAAATTATTATTAACACAAGTGAGAACTTTGAGTTCTGGAGTTCATAAACTTCCAAAAAGTTGTAAAGAAAGACGTAGTCTAAGTCAATGCAGGAGAATTTGGCACTCACATGCAAAGTTAAGCAACCTTAAGCAAACTTGTGACAGAGTTCCAACACTTACCCCAAGCCCCATGACTGCAGCACGAGTCAGAGAGTGGTCAGTCCAATTGCTTTTTAAAACTGAAACTTCCCACTCCGCCTCTGCCTCTCTCTCTCACGCTCACTCTCTTCCTCTTTTCAGTCGTCTTCCACTCTCCCCAGAGCAGAGAAGGTAGAGGCGGTTGCAGAAATACACCTTTATACCTGGAGGAATAAGAGGAGGGGCTTGCTGGGTGGGGGAAGGGAGCTAAAACTGGACAGGTAGCTTAGTTGGGGGAAGTTTACTTGCATTGGGAGGAGGCGTGCCTGAGAAAGGGTGGGCTAAATCTTACTCAACTTCTCATTTTTGTTCCCACTGTAGCCGGTCTTCTCCTTCCCTCTCCCTTCCAACTGTCCTAAAACCGTTTTTTGGCTTCTGTTTTTGATTAATTTCATCTGCAGTGTTATTCGTGCGAGGGCATTGTCTCAGGTTGTGTGTGCTTACCTCACACAGTGAAAGGCAAGATAGTGAGAGACACAGAGATAAAGCAACAGCTCCAAAGGTCAAAGTACAGCTTTGAAGGTGACTGATTGCCCAAAGCTTAAATAACAAAGACTGAAAGTAAAGTACCAAAAAAAGAAAAAAAAGTGAGAAGCTGACTAAAACTGACTGACTTTTATCTTGCGAGGGCGCGGGAGATAGAGGGAGAACAAAACTGCTACTCAAAACTACGATAGCATGTGGAATGCATAGGGAGTAAACCACTGAGCCTGAAGCTCAAAACAACGCCCCCCCTCCCCCTCTGAAAAAGAATCTAATTTGAAAGTGTTTTGAGATTAAAATTTTTAGCTATCTCTTGCAAAGTTGGCCAAAGTTGAATGGAAAAGTGTATTTTAATTGGTGCGGTCGATACACTTAACAGGATCCAAAAGGTTTGCAGCTGCCACTGGAATCCCCACCTCAGCATTCCTGAGGTTAGCAAAGTCTAAAGTAAAGCCATAAAGTTTTAACTGACAAGGTTTCAATGAATGATTAAGCAACATAATGTGCCTGCAATACTCCGTGCCCTTGAACAGAGCGACCACTGACTGCTGACTTCTTAACTGAATGACAGTCCCTGTGAAGCAAATGGACTGCCCAAAAGTTTTCAGCACTAGCGCTCAAAGAGCCACAGTGGAACTGAAGGACACCTGTGACCCCCAATGTCCCTTATGGAACCGACACGTGCCGTTAACGCAACTGAAACTTTAGCTGTGAGGATTAAGGGCTGTCCTTGATGGCTGACTGGTGGGGGTTGTTGGATGTGTTTGTAGTAAACTTACGGCTGTTTGTAGTCACTCAACTATTGCAGGGTGGGGGGTTAGCAACGGAGTGGGAGGGAGCTTGCAAAACACTAGGGGGCGTGGGGGCGGGTGGGGGACACATGGAAAATCTCAGAAATGAACATAAGGGCTTGTAATGAATGATTAGGCAACATGGTGGCCAAGAAACACTCTGTGCCCTTGAGCAGACAAAGTGATCTCTTGACTTGTTGTCAGACTGTTAAAAGCAACAGAAAACAGGCTAAAATGACCCTAAATGATGAGATAATCCCACGTTTACCAACAAGGAAAGCCTGGACAAAATTAACCACTATGCAAGCAGCGTCAGTGCACAGTATTTATGTTTTATTGAAAGCGCCACACATACATTAATATATTTTGACTATGACTTGTGGTGTTAGTGGTCTAACATCTCAAACATAGGTGTAGCATATGTGTAGCATAACATACTCCTGTGTCCCATGCATGGCGCTGGCTCAGTAGTATGTCTCTAGCTCCACCCAACCTAGAAACCAAAGGAGACGTAATTAGGAACATCGCACATCTCGCCTCACATGCACCAGGGTTGACAAACTGATGCGTTGAAAAAACAAAAGCCATGGTTTCAACAAGCTTGCACTCAATCCGTTAAGTTTGCTGGCAGCAATCAAAAGAAAAGAGACTCGACTTGTGGAAGGGGGGGCGGGGCTTTGAAGATATATGTTGCTGAACTTTGGCCGAATGCCACCATGGCTTTGGTGGCAATGCTATTAGAAGATGTATCCTACAGGGGCGGGAGAGGCTGTGTCATTTTGGTCTCACAGATGCTGATGAGATGACATCATCAGTGAGGCCATAAATAATCAGCCTGGGATGAAATGACTAAAAGGTTCACAAGACACTGAAATGACCCTGTAGCTCAAAAGCTATGAGTGGAGTTTCATGTAAATGTAAATGAGTAAAACTGTCCTAACATGTCTCATGTGTTAGTCTAAATGTTAACTAGTCGGACGTCCTAAAAAAATCCAAGTATTTCTGGTGGAAAGGCCAGCAACATAGTGTATTAGGTGGCGATTGTATGGGATTTGGCATATAGTAAATAATAAATTAAAAAGAGTAAATTAAATGAAATAAAAATCTGGAAAATGAAACACACATATTTTAATGCACTGTTGTCCCATTTATCCACCCGTGTGCATTGGGGTGAACGGCCACTTTTAGAAACATCAGCTTCACAGATGTGTGCCTTGCTTAAATATAATGTAACTATTACCTGTTATTAATTCCACCAACTTTGTTCTGGTCAGAGTATCATAATAAAAATCCTTGATGTGGGCAGTTTAATGCAGGAACAATTCCTATCAACTGTATGACTGTGCAGGAGAAAGAGTACATCTACTGATCACGGAGGGGCTTTTAACTGCAGCAGCTTGAGAGGACGTAAACATAAATGGTTCCCACCCCCTTCCACCCAACCAACAGCTGAGCTTTAATGCCAGCCAGCTGATGGGCTCCTTTGTTTCAGTGGATGTGGTTCAGTAGTATGAAAATAGTTCCCACATGAAACTGTGCAAAACAAGGTTTGTAGAGTTTTTGAGCAACCAGGCCCTGATTACAGGAAGGATACATCGGTGCCACTGGCACTACAAGGAGAATGTTATTTAGTTTCATGACATTTAAGAGAATGGAGACATTTCTACAGCCTATACTGTATCACCAAATCTGGGCACTACAGGCCCAAGTTAGATTTTGCAGTTAACTATTCCTTTAAGTAGCAGGCTTGTCAAAGCACTTGATCATTTCTCTTCAAATTTGGATGTACAGTAGATTTTAACGCAAAACAGCACATTTTGTGCTTCTGATTTCTCATTTGGGTAAAAAGGAGTTGCACGCTACTTCATTCAGATTAAAATGGAGAGACAAAACGGGGGTCCTGGGTGCCTCAGATAGTGGAAAAAATGTAACAGAGTTAGTGAAGCTCTTACCTCCTGGGTTTCGTCTGAGGATATATCTTCTGACTTCATCATAAAGGAAGATGACGAGGGAGTAAGGGAAGGCACAGAACCACCACAATGGCCTAAAGGTATGGATGGACAGTCAGGTTGAGTTACATGGCAAAAAAATCAAAACAAAACACAAGCACACTTGTCTTTTTTCTGTCAGGTTCAATAAAGGCACATGAAAAGCTTTTGGAGTGAGCATTAGGCTGCAGAGAACCGGCTATTAGAATGAATTCAGAAGCTGTTAAAGCAAAACGAGGCAGAGAAATCTGAGGACTCTGGGTCGAGGACATATCCTGCTGATGCGTTCATCTCTTTGAGACTGCTCTCTGGCGACTCTAACGAGGTTACTGAAAGACCACTAATGCAAAGCCCTGAAAACCAGCCCACAAAACTCTGGGATCTGTTTGTTATGTTTTTGTGCTTATTTCAGTGTCCTAGATCTAGTGCAGCTGTCTACATCTGAATATATCCACAGGTAAACAAAGAAATTAAAAAAATAAAAGAGCGTAAAATAATCAGAAATAGGGACAACAACACAGAATAAGAAACTGGGATTATTTAAACACCAGAAGACACCCAAAGAAACAGGGGAGTGGGTAAGTTAGGGAAGTAGCATGCGAACTTTTCAGCTAATGAGCCTAAAGTGTCTTCAATGCTTTCTATTGTTCTCTTTTGGGCAAAGAAACTCATTAGTAATAGCAGCTCTTGTGCTTCGCTCTGCCTCTGAAGAGGAAATTACCAGTGACACTAGATAATAGCCGTCTTATTTTCAACAAGAAGGTAAAGCAAGATGACACCACTGAATTAAACACAACAAGATCAACACTTTACCAGGGGATTGTCTTGTGTTCATGAATGTCATTGCATGAATAAAGGTGACAAAGAAGACGGCCACAAGAATAACATTGGAAGAGCAAAAGTGTGCTTTATGAATAATTATTGAATTCTAAGGGTGTTTTCCTGAATTTGTGGTATTACTGGATGAAAAAGAAGAGCACAAGCTTATCTGTGCGCTTGACTCACTTCATAGGGTACATTCTTAGGGCAACATCCATGCCCGGGCAGTATGACAGAAAGGCAGCCAGTGCAGTCTCCTCAACGAGCCCAAAGATAAGGATGCGGTTCCTGCAGGGAAAAAAAGTCAGAATCACCAAAACACTGGTGAATATTCTTAGATGTTCTAAAATCAAGCATCACAACATGGGAGGTCATTAAACTTTAAAGGTGCTCTTAGTTTTGATGTAAGTCCCGCCCTGAGATCTCTTGTGTCTCCACATATACGTACGTCATTCCTTGCTTCAAAATGGAGTTCCTCCTGGTCTTACAGATGATTAGATCAGCCCACTGGACGATTACAATGCTTGTGAAGAAAGCTGTGTGGCAGGTGAACTCTACAATCTTTCTGCGCTCATATGTCTAGTGCACAAAAAACAAAATGATAAGCTTAGAAAGCCTTTTCGAGCACTGAAACTCAAGTGAACAACACAATACAGCTGAATAATTCTCCCAGTTCAGAGTACATGTAGTAGCATTACTGTGACTGACCCATTCCTGTCCATAACTGTCTTCCAGGTCATTTAGATATTTGTCATCCCACAGCACTCTGAGTCCTATCAGGTCCATGGGGAGGAAACCATTTTCAGCCAGGATGACAAAATATGTGAAGAAGCCAGCTGTGGCCTGCATCATACCTAACAGGAGAAAAACAACAGGGAACTTCAGGAAATGCAGATTGTATTGATTTTTCTTTTTACATTCTGTAAGGTGCTTGAAAGTCCCCGACTACTTTTGATCACAAGGTGACTGCACAGGTCAGCTGATAGGAGGCAACCTTTCTGAAACCAGTAGTTCAGTCTGACTTGGGCTGACTGACGTCACTCTCAGTGGGATTGCTGAAGGTTTGCAAATAACTGCAGCAAGAGATATGTATTTGTAGTGGGGCGTGGTCTGCAATGCCTCTCCAGGATGGATGAACCTGTGTGGCAACTGCAACCACGCTTCGCCAGCTTAAAAGTCTGTGACTGTTTAATCTTGTAGTTGTTGTTGTTGTGGATGTGTGTGGTTGACAGCTGCAGAAATGCAGCCCATTGTGAGTGTACAGCAACTGTGTGTGTGAAAAGTGGTTGAATAAAGATGCTGAAAAGTGTAAGAATGTCGTTGGGTCTGCTGTGGTTATTTTACAGTGGTGCTGAAACCAAGGAGTGGAGTGGCATGGCAGACCCAGGACCGGGCCAGCCAGGGAAGGCGCTGGCCGGAATAGTGATCAAACTCACAGCCACACAACAAGAGCAGGCGGTGTTGTCATGCTTCTGGCGGGAAGAGCTGCAGGACAAGACCGAGCAGCATGTGGAGGTGATTAAGGCATGGCAGCTCGGATCTGGACCTGGCTGCCACTGCCGCCAGAGTGAAGGAGGTAGGGACTGTTCTGGCGTCCGTGCCAGGGCCGTGCCAGGGCGTGACCATCTAGGCTGCACCCATCCCCACTCCTAGAGTGGGAGCGTCGATGCCCGGCAGGGGCCTGCAGCCATCGGCCATTCGAGGGGGCGACCGTGGCTCAGGGGGTTAGGAAGTTCATCCAGTTCGATCCCCTCTGTCCTGGTCGTTGTGTCCTTGGGCAAGACACTACCGCCTACTGGTGTTGGCCAGAGGGGCCGATGGCGCGATATGGCAGCCTCACTTCTGTCAGTCTGTCCCAGGGCAGCTGTGGCTACAACTGTAGCTTGCCTTCACCAGTGTGTGAATGTGAGAGTGAATGAATAGTGGCATTGTAAAGCACTTTGGGTGCCTTGAAAAGTGCTATATAAATCCAATCCATTATTATTATTATTAATTCCCATCTATCAATAGCTCGCCCTTCATAATTGCAGACATTTTAGATAGACCATTCAAATGCAACTGATGTATATAAATAATGCACAAATTGGCAGAAGAGTTAGAATTAACTTTTTGAGGGTTTCTGGAAAATTATATGTCATATTGAAGGTGCAGAATTCTCAAATACTGCCACAAAAATATGGATACAGTATAGTTAAAGCTGAATAAATAAATGATGCCTTACCAATCTGTCCATAGGATATACTGATGAGCCTTTCATTCACTAGCTTGTCTGTTCTGGGGTTTCTGGGCTGTCTCTTCATGATGTCGCTCTCAGCTTTCTCATAAGCCAGGGAGATGGCAGGGACCTGCAAAACCACAAGTGAATAAATAAACACATGAACTTTCCACCCATATTTGAGTTCAGTTGAATCTCTCTATAGAACAGGATGAAGAGCCAAACAGCTCACCATGTCAGTTCCCAGATCAATACAGAGGATGGTGACGGTTCCCAGGGGCAGAGGGATGTTGGCGATGATGAAGAGGAGGAAGGGTGAGATCTCGGGGATGTTACTGGTCAGAGTGTAGGCGATGGACTTCTTCAAGTTGTCAAAGATCAGACGGCCTGAACAAAGTAATTTAGTAGATTCAGTGATGTTTTGTATTTTGTATTTCCAGATTTCTGCAGGTGTAGGTCTTGATATAGATCTTACCTTCTTCCACTCCAGTGACAATGGAGGCAAAGTTATCGTCCAGCAGGATCATGTCAGCAGCCTGTTTGGAGACATCAGATCCAGCAATGCCCATGGCAACACCGATGTCAGCTTTCTTCAGAGCTGGAGAGTCATTCACACCATCACCTGTCACGGCCACAATGGCTCCCTGGACAAGGAAGAACATGTTTTTACGAGTTCCAAACAAAACATTTGTCAAACTGTTTCTGTGAGAATCCCCCCCGATGCTCACCTGTCTCTGGCATCCTTCCACAATGATCAGTTTCTGTTGAGGGGAGGTCCTGGCAAATACAATTTCAGTGTGGTGCTTCAGCAAATCATCAAGGTGTTCTGGGGTCATGTCTTTAAGCTCACCACCATGGACAACACAGGCCTTAGCATCCCTGAAGAAATTACAAACACATTAGTATAACAGTAGGGTATCATCAGGAGATTACATCAGGACATTTCAAAAAGTAAATTATGTGAACTTTGATACTGTCAGCAAAAAAGTGTTCAATAACACTGTCACCTAATAAAATAATCAATCCTCAGTGCAGACAGTGAATCCCAACCTTTTGTTTTTAGCATTTATTTAATCCAACAGAATGTTATGTCATATTTTGTAAACAGAGGTTTTATATGAGTTTAAAAGAGCCTAACAATCCTAACCCTGCAAAAGCGCTAAGAAGGATAGTAATTTTAGTGTGCTTTAACGTGAGCACACACACACACACACTATAACTTGTTGATGAATAAAAAGCAAAGCCACCAGCTAAGCATCACACCAAGATTTAATAGATGTAAATTAATGGTAAAAGCCTTTTTGGCTGTGTAGCAGTCAGGACCTCTGAAAGACAGAGTTAATTTAATTTAGCAGTTTTTGCAATTTCAAGCAAACTTTAAAGCTGTATCATTAAAGAGAGAAACATTTTGAACAGTTCTCACTTGTGGTCAAGAAACTGTCAAAGCTACTTCAATAAATCTTTGAAAGAGAACTAACCTAGGGTTGACCTCTGAAACTGGAATATTTAAGCGGGCAGCAATGTCTTCAACAGTCTCATTGCCTTCTGAGATGATACCCACACCTTTAGCAATAGCCTTGGCTGTAATTGGATGGTCACCTGTGACCATGATGACCTGAGAAAGAAGAGAAAAAAAATGGAGCACTTTGTACAAACAAAAAAACAAACATCTGGTCATCCAAAAAGTTATCATACCTTGATTCCAGCACTCCTGCATTTACCAACAGCATCAGGCACAGCAGCACGAGGAGGGTCAATCATGGCCATGAGTCCGACGAAGCACAGGTTCTCAGTGGGGAAGTTCACTTCATCAGTATCAAAAGCAAATCCCTCTGGGAACTGGTCATCAGGCAGGTGACAGTGGCAGAAACCTGAATAAGACACAAAGAAAATGCTTGAAAGATTCCCCTTTGCTAACTAAAATTGAAATATACAGATAGCGAAGGAGGCTAGCTGTACCCAGTACTCTCTCTCCAAGACCTCCCAACTCAACATAGGCGTTATTGAAAGAGTCTTTCATCTCATCATCCAGAGCCTGCTCTTTGCCCTGAAGTAAAATGGAGGAACAGCGGTCCAAAATCCTCTCTGGAGCTCCTTTCATCACCAGCAGATGCTTGGTTTCCCCAGGTGTGCTGTTCTTATGGATGGAGAGCTGTGGGACAGCAGAGAGGCTGGATTTAAATGCAGGTTTAAGTGATTTACGTGAAGCAAAATTAAAAGAGCTTTACTCTAAACCGTTTGACAAGACTTTTTACTAGATTAATCAAAAACATTTAATAGATTCAGGTGAGGCAAGTTTTATTGCTAAAAATGCTGTTGTTAAAATTAGACTGGAATAAAATATAGACATGGCTTAGGGCCCTGAAAAGTAAGTTCATGCAATGTACTCTCACCACCCCTGGTTGAAACAAGTAGTATGATTGCAGAAGTGTAAAAGGATATTACAGTCATTTTGTTCTGATTTATAACTTCAGTAAATACTAGGGCTGTCAGCATTAATCACTTTGCAATGACGTTAACGGCAAAACTGCATTAACGTGGCGCTAACACGTTAATGGAGCTACCCACACTAACGCGTTGACGCCATCCAGCCCCACACAAAGGGTGATCCACATTAACCCGTTAATGGAGATAAGCCGCGTTAATGTGGTTTTGGCATTAACGTCATTTTAATGTGATTAACACTGACAGCCCTAGTAAATACTCAATAGTTTATCATCCAAATCTCTAGTTTAAGTGTTATTTAATTCAATGTGATATTTCTTTTGTAAATCAAGCCCTCATTTATAGTGAAATAGATAATGAAGTGCAAAGGGTAACTAGCCTGAGACTGACAGCTTAGCACTATATTAGTGTGCAGCATCCCCCCAGATCAAATCAAGTTTAAGGAAATCAAGATTGGGATTGCCTTAATTCTAAAGTTAAGACTTTGAAACAAGGCTTTCTGCAACTTTATAGTATGTGTTTTGTCTATAGATGTGCTTTTTTTGATTTAAACATTTAAGGGCTTTATCACACTGTGTGGATGGTATACCTGGTATTTGTTTGTGGAATTGAAGGGGATCTCAGCAATTTTGGAGTATTTTTCTCTCATTTCATTAACAGATCCACAGCACAGCTCAATACACTTTAGCAAGGCAGCTTCTGAGGCATCACCAGCCACATGTCTCTGTGGATTTAAGCAAAAAACAGGGTTAGTAAAATAGGTTTATCATCACATCCCATCCCTTCTTTATAACAACATATTGAAAATGAGAATTGATGTGTACACAACTGTATTTAGGTAATCTGTTGCTGAATTACATCAAAAATATGGCAATCACATGGTTGTGGATGTAATTTACTAAATTGGATAGATGATTATGGAGACCATGACTGAGACGAAGACTATTATACATCTGTATATTTAAAACAGACTTTAATTATCTTGAGTGGTTTCATAAAGATTTGTAGTGCTTTTTGGCTGCATTTGTATCTGGTTGAATCCCAAAAGTTTCAAGCCAAACGATAATACTTCAGGACTTCCCACATAGTCACTGATTCCCAGTATTCATTGGGTATACTATCAAACTCAGGAAAGAGGGGTAATAAGCATTGTCTTTGTGTACAACCAAGGGTATGAGAACTTGTTACATGGAAAACAAATGTTTCTGATTTGTTTCTTCAGATGCATTATTTGGATGGGAAATTATTTGGAGTCTTTGTTGATGTTCACGATGGATGAACTAGAGCAGTTTTACAGATGAAAATTTCTCACCTTCAGAATGGGAACGTTGCTCTGGTCAGCCAGGAAAACGGCACGGTTGCAGAGTCCGGCGATTCTGGACAGATTAGCCCAGGTGGCAGAGCTCCTGTCAAAAGAGGTACCGCTCTGGTTCTCAGTGGTGTCGGCCTCATGGATCTGGTTGTCAAACCACATGTGAGCCACGGTCATTCTGTTCTGGGTCAGGGTGCCGGTCTTGTCAGAACAGATGGTGGAGGTGGAGCCCAGAGTCTCGACAGCTTCCAAGTTCTTCACCAGGCAGTTCTTCTTGGCCATACGCTTAGCAGTCAGAGTCAGACACACCTACAGACAATTTAGGTTTTAAGAACCACAGTCTTTTTGTATCAATAAATATAAGGTATTTAAAAGGAATGCCATTAGACACCAAAACTCACAGTGACAGTAGCCAAAAGACCTTCTGGCACGTTGGCGACGATGATACCAATAAGGAAGATGACAGCCTCCAGCCAGTTATATCCAAGGATGAGAGAAAGGATGAAGAAAGTTACTCCCAAGAACACGGCCACTCCAGTGATGATGTGGATGAAATGCTCGATCTCAATGGCAATGGGAGTTTTTCCGCCCTCTAGACTGGAAGCCAGGGTGGCGATGCGGCCCATGACGGTATTATCACCAGTGTTGATGACGATTCCTCTGGCTGTGCCTGAAAAGAGAAGACAGACTGATTCCACTGACTTTTCATTTGGCTTTTGTTAGGTTTTGTATTGTTGATTGTCATTTATGCTTAGAAATATTTAACCATATATGCTTAGAGGTGTATAATCAATTGTGTAGTGATAGGATGTGTGATCTTTAACAGGCTACAAAGGCTTGGTGTGAATTCCACACTGGAATACACACCTACATCCTAGGAGCATGAGAGAGGTCGTACCTTGTTTTATTGTTTTATGGTAGGATAAACGTGGCTGTATCTGTTTTAGGCTAAGTGCCTTTTGTTACACACACACACACACACAGTATTCTTTGTTCAATTCAATTCAATTCAATTTTATTTATATAGCGCCAAATCACAACAAAAGTCGCTTCAAGGCGCTTCATTTGTTCACATGTATACCTATGTAAGATGTTATATGTTAATGACCCTATGCATATTCATGTAACCACAGTAAAAGGAGTGCTATGGGGAACCTGGCTGAGAGTCTGATGGAGGTCAAGTGGTGGGACGACACTTGGCTCCAGGCAGGTCTCCCTCATGCATGAGTAACAAGAAGAACTTCGTGTCTTGCTTGCTGTGTAATTATATTGTCTTCAACGTTCCAGCGAATAGGTTCAAGCTACAAACCTATCAGCTTTTACTTGAGATCATTAAGCTTATGTTTTCTCTTTAGACAGTAAATCAATTTTTGTGTCTGTACCTTCAACACAGTTGGTGGAGAAGAAAGTAATGTTCCTGGTTTCCAGTGGGTTTTCATGGGAGAATTCTGGAGATCGAGTCTGAGGCTCTGATTCACCAGTCAGGGAGGAGTTGTCCACCTGAGGAATGAAAAAAAAAGAAACAAACATGTTAACAGGGTCAGCAATAAGCTGTGATTGCTGACCAGTGGTGATGATCAGGTGATGCACAAGGGTGGAGGACTGAGGTTGATTTTGCCACTTCAAGAATGAAAAATTACTCAAAAACTATAACACATAAAATAAGATTTATATAAATAAAACCATAGCTGTCAAACCCCCACTCTAGAAAAATGTATGGTGTAATTAACACAAGTATTTGAGTTAAAGAACCTTGCAGCCGTGAGCAGAGACAACTCTGAGATCAGCAGGAATTCGATCTCCTCCTTTCACCTCCACTAAATCTCCGAGCACTACATCCTCAGCATTGATGCTCTTCTTCTCGCCATCACGGATAACCAGGGCTTGCTATAAAAATCAAAGATATTTTAGGAAATTTTAGGGAACACATCAAGCATACCTAGATATGTCAAAAGACACATGAATATGTATTTTCTTTCTTTTCCCATCAACAAAAAGTCAGATGAGTGATGGTAAAAATGCATCATCATTGTTGTAATACTGATGAAGAAACGCTACTCCTTAGAGTTGTGCAACTAGTACTGTTGGGTGTTACCGCCGGGAGGCTACCAAGCAAAATGATACAAAAACAGTGTGTATAAATGAACTGTTACATTAGCTTTTCTTTTTGTGTCTCACCTGTGGGACCAAGTTCTTGAAGGACTCCATGATCTTGGAGCTCTTGGCCTCTTGGTAGTAGGAGAAGCAACCGGTGATGATGACGACAGCAGAAAGCACAATACCTAGGTACAACTACATTAACAGAGAAGGCGCAGTTAGGTCATCTTTTGTGTTATACATTATTTATTTAACATCAGAGTTGGGGAGTAACGGAATACATGAACCGGCATTACGTATTTACAATACAAAATATGAGTAACTGTATTCCGTTATAGTTACAGTTAAAAAAAGTGGTATTCAGAATACAGTTACTTTGTTAACATAAATGGATTACACGGTGGTCTTTTTCTGTTTCATATGCTAGTCTATGCCCTCTTTATTTTTGGTAATTCCACGCCGGTGGAAACCCAAACAAAACATGCATTAAGAGGCTCTAATGCCTGTGTCTCAATCTTGCAGCCCATGTCACCCCTACTTGCGGCCCACATAATAGCATAAAGAAATATTTTTTAAATTATTAAAAAAATTATTTAATATGAAGGCAACAGGCAGTGTTACAGACATAGCCCTAAAGAATGTAGCCTCATGAGCAGTGTAGTCTGTGCTGCAGGGAGAATGGACTGCCATACCTGTTATGTGTCTGTGAGCGCAAGGAGGGAGAAAAAGAAGAGTGGAAAAGTACGAGTTGTCACCGACCAGAAACGGGAGTTGGAAGCATGTAACTATAATAATAACCACTGCAGCAAAAAAAGAGTACCTGACTAGCCCAGTTGTAAATTTTCTATTAAGACTTGACTGTACACCGTGTTCGTGTTTTCCTCCAAAACAATAAGTTCCGTTGGAGCAGCCTTTCAACGCCTCTCTCTCTCTCTCGCTAGCAAAGCTGACCGGAACAACAAAGTAAAGCTAATTTTTGGCTATGAGCCAGTCACAGAGCCCAATGTATTAGCCAGAGGTCCCTTTACTACGATTTGGAGCCGCGGACCTGTTTTATATAAGCACGGAATAGTTTTCAATACAAGACCGCTGCAAAAAGTGAAGCCTTACATAATGTCCACCCTACTGTTACTCATTTTATGTTAAGATTCAAAAATCTAGTTGATATTGGTATTGGTATGGCGGGTAACCAAGTAATAGTCATAAATCACAGAGCAATAGTACATACATGTAGTTGTAAAAAGCATGATAATATATTAAGTAATCCAAACTATTCAGAATACGTTATTCTCACTGAGTAACGTAACGGAATATGTTACAAAATACATTTTGGGGCATGTATTCTGTAATCTGTAGTGGAATACATTTTTAAAAGTGACCTTATCAACACTGTTTAACATACAACAATCTAGTTGAAGACGTTATTTTTACGTTATCATTTGCAGGTTCATCTTCTGAGGCAGCCTGGATACCATAAGCCAAGAAGCAGAGGATGGCACCAATCCACAGCAGCATGGAGAAACCACCAAACAGCTGGAAACAAGAGGAAATAACAATCAGGCTTTGCTGGTTGTACTGGTTTACAGTGACACAGACTTAATTTGCATTTCTACTATTTGGATATTCCACCACAGGTCCGGTTTGCAAGGGGAGGATGTTTGACTCTTACCTGTTTGCAGAACTTGACCCATTCAGGTGTCGTAGGAGGAGGTGTGAGGGCGTTGGGGCCATCTCGGGCCAGGATCTCTGTTGCTCTGGAGGAGGAGAGACCCTAAAAAGAACGATAAAGGTAAGAGGAAAGGTTAAGCTGTGTAAAACCTGATATGAAAATGTGTGATTCCAGTTTTTCCCTTGTTCCTAAAAAGTTTTTAATCTTTGCTGACTTAAGGACAAACATAATGAAGAAGAAGAACATTTCAGTTTAATACGTACAGCATTTAAATACAAAGAAATGGTGAATTAAGGCCTAATGGAAAACCAAGAAGAAAAAACAACCACAAGCCGAAATACCTCAGTAATCTTAAAATTACAGCTTCCTCTCCTTAAGAACAGACAACAAGAGAAATCCATGTTTATGGGAAATCAAGTCTTGTAATTAACAGTGGGCGCGAAGACTACCAAGTGATCAGGTTGTGTCTGTTTCTATGAAATCCTCTGAAGAAATACGGGGATTTTTTTTACTACTATTTTCTTTGTTGGCAGAGTCAATAAAGCCCGTTTCCCTATATGAGTGAAACTGTTCAGACAGGTCAGATTCCAGGAGATAATCAGCCTCAAGCAATCATTAGGTGGGTCCGTATTGGTGTGTGAAAGTGCATTCTGTGTGTTTATCTGTAGCTTGATGAAGATCACATGGAGCTACTATTGAATAGTATCCAAGTCTGCCTTTTGTAGTGTGGTATGTATTGACACTTTAAAGGTCCAGTTCACCATCTGTCTAACCTGTTAATGTAACTGCCTGTAACTTCACTTGAGTTGTTTAAAAAAAAAAAATCTTCTTCATTTCCACAAGTAATCTGGGACTATAAAGACAATGTATTTTGTTTGTGCCACATGTGGCATTAAAAAGAGTCAAGAAGCAAAGCCTGGGATAGGCTCCAGTCTCCTGACGACTGGTTAAACAGAAAAGAATGGATGGATGTTACTTTACAGAGACAATAATCCTCTACCAGCTTTTATTGGAATGAATGAAGGCAGGAAGCTAATTACAAGTAGGCTAAAGAAACAAATAGCTAAGTGCCACATAGCCCATGACTCAATCTCGGGCTCCTTCTGTCCATGTGTCAAAGTGTCGTTGGGCAAGTTACAGAATCCCAAGTTTACCCCCGATGTACCTATCAGAGTGCGAACATGTTGACATGTTAGATAAAAGTGCTTAGTAAAGATAGAAGCACTGTATTAATATGTGTGTGACTGGGTGAAAGCAGTTTGAATGCCCATATTAAGTAGAAAGGTGCTCGATAACAGTGTTTCCCAACCAATGATCAGGTGTGTCGTGGAATATTACCTGGTTCCACCTGATTAGTACTCTAAGCGTCCGGCGTGAGTAATGGGCAGAGCAATTACATTCTCTTCCACTAGAGGGCAGTACAACTACCTGCTCTAATTGAATGGGTTGTCAACTGCCAGTAAAACAGAAGAAGAAGAAGAAGAAGAAATTACATAATAGTCATGCTCTGAGTGAAAGAATGCAATGCGTAATAGCAACAGAAAAGTACTCAATCTGACCTGGGTCTTGGAGAAAATTCCAACCCAGACGACGCCCCTAGCATGAGTAGTGGTTATAAGAAAGCAAACTATACTGGGGACAAACTGAGCCAATTCCGCTATACCTGGTGTGCGGGGAAAAATGATCAATATGCTTTTTGTGACATTTTTGCTTGGTGGTGTGCTGTGTGATTTTTCTAATGTGATATATGTACCGTGGCTCCAGAAGGTTGGGAAACACTGCTATATAAGTACCAGTCCATTTGACAAAGTAAACTAAACTGTTGCCTGTCCTGAGTCATGTGCTTATAACTAGGGAAGGATTGATCCGATATACAGTATCTGTATCAGTCTGATCCTGATCTAAATTACTGGATATCGGGGAGAAAAAAAAAAGTAATCCGATCCATTAAATATCACAAAAACATCTCACAAAACTTGCAACATGGCGTAACCCACGTAGTGAAATAGCACATCGGAGCAGTATGCGTCACATGATAGAGTGACTGTTGTGTGCGAGACCTGTCAGGGGTCTGGAGTTCACACTAAAAGCATTTTGGAGCCTCGCTATGTGCTGCCAAACCAGGTGTACCAAGGTAGGTATCCCTGACAAAATTCGTACCTCTTGCGTTGCGAGCATTCGCTGGGCACGGAGTGCCGATCCAGTTTTTTCTGCCTCCATTACAGACAATTAGACGTGGAAGTAGTGATGTTTTAGTTTTGTGAAAAAGTGAAAAATGAGTGTTGTAACAGTACCATTCACTTTGAGGGTTACAACAGAAACATATATATTTATTGTTCTCATGTGGTATCGGATGGGATTATTTTAACAAATAAAGGACATTTTATCTGATAAATAGATGTAACTTTACTGTATAAAGAGCTAAAACCTTCAAAGTTTTAGGACTAGTTAGTCATTATAAGCATTTGTGAACTAAAAATGAAGAATGTGGGATACTCTTGGTCCATGATTTAGGCAGGGGGGGAACATATTGTGGCAGGATCAGCCTGATATTATTTGTATCCCACTATAACTTCACTGTATAAGGAGCTAACATCTCCAAAATTTCAGTATTTAGTCGTTATTAGAAGTGTTTGTGAGCTTCAAATCCAGAATGTGGGATAGTGTTTGGGATATGAGTGTCGTGAGAAGCCGTGTTTGCATTCATTTGCACTGCTTTCCACTCTGGATGTCTATTTATGTTAAGCTTTAAGTATAAAAGGGTCCATTCTTTTTTTCAGAACCAAAGAATTTTTGAAATCTGCATAAAATTGCATTTTAAATTAATTTTTGAATATTACTTTAAATACTTACATTTAAAGTTCTGCTAAAAGTTTAAATAAAAAGATTAGTATTGCTGAACTGCAAAATATTTTGGGTGTAATAGAATAGCTTTAGTGTTTTGTTTTTTACAGTTTTTAAAGTTAGCATGAACTTAAAAAAACAGTTTTATTGATTATAAAATAGACTGTATAGGATTCATATCGGTTTCTGCAGATATCCAAATTTATGATATCAGTATTGGTATCGGACATTAAATAGTGTTTTTGTGTCACCTCTACTTATAACCTCATGTTGGACTATGAAATCCTCCTTGACCTGTGGGATTATCTTCTAAAAAAACACACTTCTAAAAAACTAGACACCCACAAGCCCGTCTGAAGTGCTCACCCTGGTTAGGTCAGTTCCATATTTCCTGATAAGTTCTTCCAAGGTTAACCTGTGATCATCCTATTGAGAGTAGGAGAGGAAAAACAAAGAGATTGAGAAACATTGAGTAAAACAAGCCAAAATCCCACAGGCAGGCATGCATTTTATTACATGTGTTTTATTATGTGAATGTAGCAGCAGAAAATTGCTGTTTGCGCATGAAGGATGAGTTGATGTGATCTAAGGAACCACAGAATACAACAACAACAGAGCCTCTCACTCACTCAGCATTAAAAACCAATCTAGATAAACATGACTTAGAAGGTAATTATAGCTGACAGCATCTTAATAACATGGGAGTGTACGTCCAGCAATGTAAGCAGCAATCTTCATGAAATATGGCTCAGACACCTACATCTCATGAGACCAGCAATGAGGCCAAAGCAGAGGTTTGCCTCAGCCGTGACTGCATCATTGCTGTGGCCACTGGCAGCAATCGAGTGACTGTCATTAAAGTTCACGAACGTTTATTCAATGCCTTTTTCTTTCTGTGACACAGTCAAACTATTTATCAGTAGTTTTGTATGCTTAAAATTCTCACTTTTCTTACATGACATCAAGCCAGTCAAGTTACAGATGATCACAGAGCGGCTGCACGTGAGCTGAGTACTCACCAGGTCCACTTCTTTCTTCAGCTCATCCATGTCCTTCTTCTTTCTAGCCTTCTTGCTTTTCTGTCCTCCATTTTCTGACGTTGCTGCCAGCTTGTAGTTATCCTTTCCTTTCTGGAGAGAAGAAAGTGGCACAAAATGTGGCATTAATAAAACTGAACATATGTGGGGGAAATTGCCTTGAAGCTTCCTCTTCTGTTGTGCAAAAATAAGAGCAGAAAGTCAGGTCAGCTGTCCTGTTCAAACATGCTCTGACACCGGTGTTAATAACTGTTAGAAGAGCGAAATTCTTTAATCTTGATCCAGATAATCTTGGGTTTATAATGCTGCCAAAGCTGTAAAAATAAATTTAAGTTAGAAAAAGGAGAACTGACATTAACACGAAACGATAAATTGAGCCCTGTGAGATCTAGGTTATCTCTGATGGTGACTCCAAACCTAGCCCCAAGAATAACCTCATGATTTGGAAAAGACAAGAAGTATTTTTGTTTTATCTCAAAAGAAATTCTATTTCTTTATCAAAATAACCAAAATTTAGACTGAGCTCAAACCTGAAAAGAAATGCAGAACCTAATCTTAAGGTAAGTTTAAAGGCCAAAATCAGTGACAAAATTTCAGTACTTACTCCAAATCCCATGATTGTATTTCAAGTCTAACAGCAGTCAATCTTCCTGCCTTACAAGTCAAACTTCCCTCCTCCACTTCTCTCTCTCACACCTGCACTGTCTCTTTCACTCCCTTGTCTTCCACCCTCTCCAGAGCAGGGACGATGGGTGGCATCAGTTTGGCACACCTTTATACCTGACCTGGTGGAGCCGTGGCTGGGCAGGGCAGGACCATGTGGGGTTAAAGATCACTCAAACCCTATGTGTTGCACAAACTGCCTCCTGTCTTCCACTTGACTTTCACCCCTCATTCTGCCATTATGAAAACAATTTACATTTTCTTGCTCATTAATTTTACCTGAAGCGTTTATGTGTTTATGATGTCTCCACCCGCTTGAGGTTGAGAAACACTGGAGTGAATCCAGCTATGAAGGTGACTTATTTCCTCAAATCTTCATTAACAATGGCTGAAAGTAGGGACTTGATGCTTAAAATGGACTTTTATCTTGTGAGGGTGCAGGTGAAAGGAGAAGTAAACTGGTGCACATAGCACAGATACAATTTGGATTGCAATGGAAGTAATCCAGTGAGCCTGAAGCTTTCTGAACTTCCCTTATGAAAAAAAAAAAAGATCGTCCAATTCATTTCAAGGTTGCATTACTTTAAGAAAGGGCTGCTCTACAATGCCTTTTACTATGCTAAACCACCGTGTTTAACATAAAATGCTGAATGCCTTGGTTTGCTGCCTGCTACTCCCTTACATTAACTAAAGCCAAAAACCATTTGAGACTTTTTCTGCTTTCACACACTGTTGCATATCAACTCATAATAGCTGTAGCTCACCGCAGTACAGTCAAACCCAGGATAGGATATTGGTTTGTGGTGTAGTGATCTGAAAGTCATCGGGATGCTAATGAACAAAATGTGCCCGTCATGTCAACACCCAGAGATACCTTTGTCTCAACGACATATGATCACACCTTCTATCCAAAAACACGAGCACACACATTGGAAATTAGTGTTTAGACTTTCATTTGCAGAGTTTGTACATGTGGATGCTTGAGTCTTTGGGATGTTCACCCCCCACACGGAAATTATGCAATTCTTGCATCAATAAAACCAAAACAGTGAACCATGATTGAGCCTAAGTGGCTCCCTCAGAGATTTTATGGAGATAATGTAGGTTTTAGCTCTGCAATTAAGGCATTATAGGCTCTTGTATAACCCTAAACAATCCTCTGTCATACACAAACAACATGGGAGCTGAAAATGTAAAACATGGCCTTTAGAACGTTACTGTACTACCAACTACATGAGAGTTAACATGAATATTATTAGGGGAAACACCAGCAGCAGAGGCACGGGGTCCAAGCAATTTAAAAGACACTGAAGTGCTAGATTTTAAAAAAAGCAGCAATGTGAACAGCTGTACTTATGCTTAAGAAAAGTGATTAAAACGGAAGCCAACTTTGCAAAATATACAGTACAATGGGTATAAAGCATTCATGATGCAGATTCACATAACTGTAAAGACACATGTCCAGAAATTTAAAAAAGTGTGTGCAAAAATGTACATGCAAATGCATAAATATAACCTCTTAAAGTGTTGTAGAGAAACAGGTCAACGTACAGAACTGTGTAAACGTGTTGAGCCACCATTCATTTCTTTATATTTTACTTCCAAGCAGCCAGGCTTGCTTGCTGGAGGTCTTTCAAAATTTGTCTTTGGAGAGTTTTTCCCTCATTTTGAAACCAGTGAGAAAAGGCCTAAGTATGCCACATTCCACAAGAACTGGAAAATCAGTGGGAATATGTCTGATGGAGTGATGAATCCAAATTTCACATTTTTAGTTCAGACTGGAGACAGGTTCAACAGTGAGTGTCTACAGTCTATGAACAATGGTGGAGGCTCTGTCATGGTTTGGGCTGTATTTCAGTCAGTGATGTTGGAGATCTTGATAAAGCTAAAGAATTATGAACACAGAAAAGTACCATCAGGCTTTCATTCGCCATGCAATACCACCATCTGGAAAGGATTTGATTGGCAATGGCATAATTTTTCAGAATGACAATGGCCTCTGGAATACTTCCCTAAATTTTTATGTAATGTAACATTTCAATGTAACGATTAATGTAACTATTCAGGATTTGTGAATAGGAGAGCCAAGAATTTAGACTGGCCATTCCAGATTCCTACCATCACCTGGATGTATTGGCTTAAAGCATCACAATCAGCAGAAATGAGCTTCCTCCAAAGGGTAACTGGGCTTAGGCTAGTGTGAGGAGGTAATCCAGGAGGGGCTCAGAGCAGAGCTGCTGTTTCCCCACATTCGAAAGAGCCAACTGAGGTGGTTTGGTGATCTGACTGCAATCCATCCTGAACTTCTCCTAGTGAGGTGTGAAGTGTCTACCCAGGAGAGCACCAGGGAAGACCCAGGACTTACTGGAGAGATTATATCTCTCAAATGGCGTTGGAATACTTCCTTCAAAAGATGCTTGCCATCAAGCAAGCATTCAGGAGTGTGCATTTAAAGAATTTCTTATGTCAGAGGGATTCAACACTGGGCTTGAATACACACTAAAATCTACCCTTGAAAATATAGCAAAAGGGTCTCAAAGTTCCCTAAACTGAGACTAAACCTGGATATGCAACATGTAAATGAGTGCGCTATAAAGTCCTGACTGGGGCAAGAAAGTTAACATTAAGCCGTCTATAGTAGTGCCAACATACTGACTGCCTACATGGACTATCCATCCATTCGCTTATCCTTTTCAGGGTCACGGGGGGCGCTGGAGCCTATCCCAGCTGTCATGGGGCGAGAGGCGGGGTACACCCTGGACAGGTCGCCAGTCTGTCGCAGGGCCAGACAACCATTCGCACCTAGTGACAATTTGGATTATCCAATTAACCTATCCCCACAAGCTGCATGTCTTTGGACGGTGGGAGGAAGCCGGAGTAACCAGAGGGAACCCACGCAAACACGGGGAGAACATGCAAACTCCACACAGAAAGACCCCGGCCTGATGTTGGAATTGAACTCAGGACCTTCTTGCTGTGCGGCAACAGTGCTAACCACCATGCCACCGTGCTGCCACCTGCAAGGACTATAAAACTTAATTTCAGAATAACTTATCATGGCAAAAGGACACTCAAGTGCAGTACACGTACAGACCAGTGATTCTTAAGATTTTGATTTTAGTGCTTTGTCCTCCTCATAGCCACTCCTGCAGCGAGGGTGACAGTCAAACCCATGTTGACATGTGAGAACATTTGCCTTGCTGTCATTTCTACTCCTCCGGAGATGCCTGACAAATATACATACATCTGTTCTTTACTTGAGAAGCTATCATATGATTACAGCCAAAATGTGTGACTTGTTTGCTACATCTTATTCCTATTGTAGGCTTCTTCAAGGTTTCTTCAGGACCCCTTCCCCCCGCCCAAGGTCTTGTACAAGACAGCACAAAGCCTACAGATACTTGGAATCAAAAATATCCATTAAATAAATGTGACTTTGTGCAGTTTATTTTTAATTTGATATAAAACATTCACTTGAGGAGTGATGAGAAAAAAGGCACAGACATGTAAAATGCAACCACAGTTGAACCAAATTACAGCCACGGGATAAGAACAGCATGTTTCCCACCCCACTGAGACAGTAAATCCTCGTGCTGTAACAGCACATATCATCATGTATATTTGTTCATCTACAACATGCTCGCAGTCAAATTAACTCTCTATGCATCAAAGGTTAAGGCCTTTAACCTAGCAAAGCCATAGCAAAATTCATGAGATACTTAAACTCTGTGGGAATCTGTATTATCTCATGATGATTAAGATGGGGGCAGACCACCAACTGTATATAAAATATGGACATAACCAACGTGAGCAATCACAAGTTTGTGAAAAACGCAGTTGACAACTGAAAAATTTTGGATCATAGGTCCGACAACGCTGTTAAAAGCTAATGTTGACATGCTTATTTTAGACCAAAGAAAAGCTGTATATTAATTTTATTTATTTATATGTAGTAATGTTTCTTCTGCACAGTCAGGGATTTTAACGTGTGAATATATGGTTACTCATGTGGATACCCAACAAAATGCAGTTTTTGATTGCTTGAGTTAGTCAATTTTTTTAGATCGTCCTTAGAGTATCATGGTCTTATATTAAGTATTATTTTGAAAGATTATTTAGACTTTTAAATATTTTTTGAATCAGAATTATTACTTTCAGTTATTTTAAAATAAATATAGTTTTTTATTAATTTTTTAAAAAATATTTACATTTTTTTAATGATTTTTTTATAATGCAAATTTTGATTGGCAAATATCTTTCCTTACCTGGTTATGTTTTTCAGGGCAAAAATAATAATGACATGACAGATTTTCTCTGAGCTTAAGGCTGTTAAAACATGTAATGTGTGCAGAAACGTCTCCCTGCAGTGTACCCAAATATGAAAACACTGACTAGTAATGCCTTCAATTCCCAAGGGAAAAAAAAGTGAT